CTAGAGGTTACACACGTCAGGATTATCACACCCCAAACGAAGGTAGCTGGTCGTCCTTTCAGCTAAGTATAGTGCAAGTCTGCTAAGTGAACGCACTGATAGCAAGGACTTTCCCTGCCTGGTAATGTTGTAGCAGCCATCCGTCGGGATAATTACCTACGAGATACCCAAGGCTGTATTTCTTAGTACGACTCTCGACTGCCGGCGCGGAGACGTACTAGAACACTGTTCTCCACTGGTCAGATAACGCTCTACATTTTGAAAGAACTGTGAGCCTCGTACCGCCTGCAACCCAGTCGAACTGGGTGCCGTTCATATTGAGGGCGGCTTTCATGCCATACAGGTTCCCGTAATTTAGCCTACATCAGTGGACGCTCAGAAGTAACACAGATATGTTATACCGAGTTACGGACGCGGTTTTGTCAACTGGGAAGAGACTTATTACTAACATACGGTCGCTTGACAAGAGGAGACAAACCAAAACTCAGACCCTGGGAGATGCAGAACTACAGTGAATCCACGTCAGCGATAACGGCATGGGCTCAACTAATACACGCCTCACCATCGGCAGAATCCATATGTCGATCTTCCTTGCGATCCTATGGAGGCAATGCGATCAGGGATCAACATATACTGCCCTCGCAACGTGCCCGTACCTGGCGTTGTCCTTTTGGCTAACACGCATGCCCGATTGTTTCGCTAGTTCAAATTGTTTGAGGCCGACATTGACGCTGTCTGTAGACACCGAGGTGGTGTCAACGATGGTCGAGCCTTTCACTGCTTCAACGGATACTGAGATCACGGTCTTCTCGGAGGTGTCCATACTGTAGGTACCCTGGATGCACTTACGGATACCACTCAGGTCTTATATGTATGCCGTTACTGGAGCCTGCGGAGATCCGTCGAGGTCCGTAGAAAGCACGGGCCGGCTGGTGTACCTGACGATCATACTAGCTGCGGTCGAGAAACCTCTACCCAGTCCTCGCAGGAGCGAATTTAGAACACTCTTCGGAAAATGATCGTGTACCGTAGTCTCGGGGTTGCTAATCACATACATTCCTGCGATCACCTCTACACCGTTCAGAGACTACATGCTTCAGACAACCTCATGAGTTATGGTACGTACGGTAATCCCCTGATGAACGACTCCCTTGAATGAAATGCACGCTTCGATCTTGATTGCTTTAGGTTCCTGTCATTGAGGGACGCATGGTCCATTGGTACGGTACCATTTCCCACATCTCACATTCGAAGGCAAACCCCTGAGAACTGATTTATTGGCGGGTTGATATGTCCGCGGCTGTACCGCACATCCGTGTGGGATCATATCGGGGCTGAACAAAAGCGAGCCATGCGTTTCCCAACTTTATGGTGGATTCCGGACCTATTCATACACTGGGGCGCAGCATCAATGAGCATGCGATACATCTACGCTAAGCCCCGTGCCGGCCGAGCTCAGAGAACATATCTCACCATCAGATTAGCGTCATTCAACATAGACATAAATAGGTGTGTGCTCACCGGTGATATTTATTCTCGCACTCTGTTATGTCATGCATACCAGCCTCTGTAGACAGTCAGCAAGAACTACGCATACATTCTACAGAAGGCTCTCACCCTCGCCTTTGAGTTGCTCCTCATAAGTTTGCAAGCGACCATATTTTCGATCTTTCTATTTGGTTGAACTCAGCGTCAATGCCATACTATCAGCCTCGATCATGGTTAACTCTTACGGTCATATTGCTCCAGACCATATACAGACCTAGTAGTATGTGTGCGACTGGTGTAACCATCAGTCGGCACACCCGAGATGTAATAGTAAGATCGTCTCTCGCTCGCCTGTTTTGACAACATATCCTTGTATGGCGACAAGTTGAATTAGAGCATCTGCGGAACACGAGTTGATGCGGACCCACCTATGAACATCGCTTTCTACAAGAGGACATCAATATAGGGCGAGAAAAGGGGCCAGAAGACTTACTATTCCAGTTTGGTAGATAGGTGCCTCGCTCTCCTAGTTACAAATTGACTCAGATATGGCAAGGTATATGAAGGATTCATCTCACGATGAGGAACTGAGGACTAGCAGGACATTAAGTATGCAACGAGCGCAATTGGACCAAGGCGGCAGCGTACCCGACCACGTTACCAACACAATACTAGTCAGCCCGTACTTGATACCATTCCTCCAACGTTCAGACATGTTTGACAACGTACCCCGATAAATACCAGAGCGGTTGTAAACGTTTTCTTTGTGAACCCGCCGACCTGAGGGCTGTCAGATATGGATTGCCAATGTCGTGGGCTGAGGGGCTGACATTGTTCGAGATCATCACGAGACCGAGTACAAAACCCACGGACTAGAGTAGACGAACAATCAGGTACAGCCTACAGAAGCGCAGTCTTACCTGGAATGAAGTAAACCAGTATGCGACTAGCCTACTCCATTTCCGATTAGTGGGAAGATATGCTAGGCAGGCGGCGGCGATGATGCATGTAACATTGCCTATAGCCATGGCGATGATACGCACTTAGGAATCTGCGGCATTAGCGTTGATCATTTGCAAGCTTTGGGACCACCCACTATTCTCGAACCGAGTGCATACCCAGCTATAGGATATGTATGAGTTGACCAGACCGCGGCTAAGGATAATCTCGAAGGCAGACGGACCCAGCAACTACGAGACTAAGCACGAGAACACCATTCGACGCAGCATCTAATAACGTGCTCTGCAACGTGGTGAAGCCCATGCCCTAGCACTCCTCGTCAGCAGCACAACCAGGATCGAGATTGCAAACTTGCCTTTATAATGATAGTTGAGAAATTTGAGACGACACTAACAGGACCAATGAACTATGTCTAAAATTGATGCTAAGTAATGCTGCTCATCCGTTCGGTATCGCTGCAGCAATGGTTGCGATCAACAGAAACCAGGTCTTCGGATCAACAAGCGCTAGCTTGACCTGTGGAACTTACAGGTCAGACACAATTGCCAGCGTATCTGAAACTTCAACAAACCTGATAGGCTTTGAATTGCGTATTCTTCATCCCCAACTTAGCCTCGGCAACACGCTTGACAGCAAGCACCCTCTCGTCCTCATTCAAGAAGCGAGCCTCGACCGGAGAGTCAGGAAAGAAAAGCCAAAGGACGACGGCAACTATATGTTCTCAGATGGGGGACAAAGCGATAGTCTGTGTGCTCACATGCGACGCTGATAGACCCAAGGATGAGGAAGATGTACTCCCACCGCGGCAGCGCCGGATCGGGGATAGTACCGATCTGTGAAGTCCGTGAGTGGCGACATGTCGACGATGTACAGTTGCTACCTACAGCATATGCGACGAACCCACCCAATATTCCCGACCATCCATTGAACGTATACCAGATCATCGCGCGAAGAGGAACCTCACTTTGGGAGTACCATATCGAAGTAAGGATAGTAAGTCCGGGAGTAACAATCGCTTCAACTAGGCCCAGGAAGAAACTAATTGTGTCAAAACACGATACTCATATATTGGTAGGTGAGAACATACCGATTTATGATGACTGTTCCAAATCCGGTGCACGCAGGAGTCCTAATTCGTCCCAGAGCTTAGTGAGCACCAATGCCACGTCCTCCAGCGTGGTACACACTATGACGTACGTCAGGATAATGACTCCCCAGATGAAAGTGGCTACTGGACAGTCAGTACACGCCCCTGTTACCGGAACTTCGGAGAATCTCTCACTTGTTGACAGGACCTTTCCAGCGTGATAGTGCTGCAGGAGCCACCCGTCAGGATAATTTCCAACCAGATATCCGAGACTATATTGCACGTCAGGGACCCGCCTATGTGTCAAGAGAAAAGACAAACTAGAAAACTGTGGTTCGGTGAGACTCGCCTTATCCTCAGTCTGATTGTAGTCAAGGCGCGCACCGCTCGCGAACCAGTCAAACTGATTGCCCGTGAGATGGAGAGATGTTTGCATCCCATATAGATTCCCATAGTTCAACCTGTGTACGACTGTATGAAGACTCACGCTTTCGCATGCTCCACCCGCAAACGTACGCTGTCTTATCAACTGGAGAGTGTGGTCCATAAAATGATGCCTAAATGGGCAATCTTGAACGACAGCATATACGCACGGATACTCAGGCCTTGCGCTATACAAAGCTGGGAACCAGTTCATCAGTTCGCAGAGCCGACCGTGCCGAGAGGTCTCGCGCATTCTGACCATAGGAAGAATCCATATATCGATTCTCCTCGCTATTCTGTGCGAGCGCAATCGCCAACACTACACACGCTAAGCAACCCATGAACGGCACCTTGCGCTATCCTCCCGACTGACACGCACCCCGGCCTCCATGGCACGCTCAAATTGGCTCAGACCGACATTTCCGCGATCCTCGTCGACCGAAATAGGCGTTACAGATATGTGTACACCCTCCGGCTTCGGAGGCACTGGGCTGACATTGCTTCCTAGCGTATCCATAGCGCAAGAGATGGGAGGCCGACGGAGACTGTGACACTTCCCAGCTCTTTATAGCGAGTTATATTGGGATTGAGAAGGAGACCAAGCGGCAGGGAAGGTCCCTGCGGTGCCACAGCCCCGGGACAGAACCTAAACTGTGTCAGGTGGCATTGACGGCGAATACGAAGGGAACAACCTTGCACAAGTTGCTGCGGTGGCGGCCGACTACACATTTTGGTTCGATTTGAGAATCACAGCGCAATTCCATGGCCCTAGGAGCAGTCATCACATCCGGCAAAGACAGCGCGTTTCTTGTGGAGCCAAATTGTCGACCGACCGCCATGTATAGAAAGCCAAGGTAGCACATAACCGCCATCTTGTGCCTTACAAGACACCTGCTGTTTAGGTAAACTAGAAGGCGAAGGCACACGTGATCGATGTCGACGCCGCCCAATTCGAATCAATTGACGAAGCAAACATTCGCCACGCGGTCATGGCGTTTGTGCGTACGCCAATATTGAAATGTAGATTAACTAGCAAAAAGTATGACAACTGTGAGATTCGAACTCACGCCCTTTCGGACTGGATGAACTAACGTCCTGATTCCAGCGCCTTAGACCGCTCGGCCAAGTTGCCTTGTTACCCTCAGTGGGTATACGCTACACATTGCGGTACCTCAGAGAGGAAGGACTGGTCATCACTCCAGCAACTTGCAGCTCCGAGCCTCCGACTAGTGCACTGCTGTCAAGACGTAGCATAAAGTACAGAGGTAGCCTCAATCAACCTGTAATGATCCAGTTACAATAAGGGACCAGGTTCACTGTCCAGATCGTTCGGCTCTGCTGCGACGTAGAGCCATGACATGATCCCATTTCTCCCCATTGCCAATTGGGATCGGTAATCACCGTGCGTAATACCATGCCGCCTTCATTATATTCACCCGGGAACAGGCCCAACGACGTCAAGAACATGTCGCAGTGCAGCATGTACGGTCGAAAGAAGTCATTTCAGGTTGTCTCACGAGTTTCATGGCGCAGGCTGCGACGCGCATCCTCCGAGAACGAAGCGTGCATCAGGAAATTCTCAGGTCGTCTTATCGCATTTTATTGACCTCTTGGGACTTGACGGCGTCCTTTTGAGCTTGTTAGCGCTCGATAAGTGCCTCAAAAGGTAGATAAGACGCTATAAGACAAGTTGATATTTATGTGTCTTTCCGCTCTGTATCGTCACTGGGACACTGGCTGTTGGCCGTTTATCGAGTTTGACAGGCTGACGTTTCATTTTCAGTGCAGGATCCGTGGCGATACGAACGGGAACAGGCGCTATCAGCTGTTGAAGCGTGAGTCCTGACTTACGTGGTGGTAGCATCTGAAACTCAAAAAGCCCATTTTCTTTCCTCAGCCACAAGATGCAGGAGCGGGCACGAATTGCGAGCGTCGCGTGGATTCACCCAAATGAGATGTGACAGTAACAGTAGGAATGTGGTCCTGTCCCCGGCTGTCGTCAATCAATTTAACTGTGTCTGTCGACGGCACCATGCCATGCGTTCGGTCTCTGTGATTTGATAATTTCTCAAGCAGCGCCTCCTGATGGCATCCAAAATGAGCTGGATGATCGCGCAAGTGGTCGACACTCGACGTACCTGGTCACTTGCACCCTGATCATAGTCGCGCGATAAGCCCCAAAACTTCATAGTCCATCAGTGATTGTACATAAGTACAAGTCTGAAGACACACCAGAGGGGTTCGTCGGGTTGTTTTCTCCGTAGTCACTGCCGAGCTAATGGGCTTGCCGGATGAGTCCGTATTTTCTAGCCCTCGCGGCTTCATGAACATGACTAGCGAGGTGATGTTTGTCTGTTTACACCAGCGATTTTCACCAAATTCCGGCGCATGATGTAGGGCATCTTCGACATTGTCCAGCACCTGCTATGCATCAGCCTTCACGCATCTGTACATAATTGTGTACAGTTGCGAGAATATTGCTTCCATCTGCAAGAACCGTACAAAAGAATAAGAGAGGTATCTGTATCGAGCTGTGGGGCACTTACATGTTCCGGGTGAGGTGTTATCATCAGACGCCCAATGATCAAGTCTATCGCTCGTGTCGCCTCCCGTATGTCTTCGAGCGCTGAAGGTGCTATGTCAGACTTCAGAAGTCACAATACGGCTCCTTAAACTCTCTCGAATCTCCTTCCACAACCTCGGAGACATCTGTTGTTGCACGGTCTCGCAGACAACATGGCCATTCGTCAGCCAGTGGATCATATTTGAAACAGCTGGAGCATTCAGAACCCCAGGTGCAGGATCCGTGGATGAGCAGACTTGGTGAGTGCGGTTTTGCGATACTTCACGCTGCATCTTGCGCGTATTAAATGCTATACGATTTGCCGACTGCGTGCTTAGTCGAGAGGTAGTGCTGAGAGCCAAATAGTGCACATACCGTCGTCAACGCTCCGAGGAGCTCCACGCAAGGTTGACCAGCCGTTTCCCATACTGCACAAACAACGGGAAAGCTAGATGGGAAGACCGCTTGAATGGTTCGGTAGAAGACGCAGCGCAAGATAATCTGCATCATGCCCATGTGCCTTTTGAGTTTTGTGGCTGTGCTGCCTTATGTCCGCAGCATGGGGCTCCCAAAAAGGACGGCCCAGTGTATGGTGCTGCGTCGCGGCAAGGGGTAAAGTAATCACGGAAGGTGAATTCGTCAGCGCACTGTCTAGGTCGTGAGGTGTGTGCCGCTGAGCCCGATTGGGTGTGATCTGTGGTACACCATGAGACTCCAAGCTTCGAAGACTAATAGCCCAGATATGTGAGAGAGCTGTAGGATATTTACAGCGCACAGAACATGCAGGCAGAACGAGAGATCATCTGATGTACGCCGTTGAACGATGTGCATGGTACAACCTCACCATCCTTTCCCAATGATGCTCGGAATGGTCTGCGTGATGGAACAAATTACAATGAGGCGGAGCAAGTATCATCCACATAAACTAGTCTGTCGCTGCTGACGTACGACTCCATTAGTTACTTCAAAAAGACTACCATGACAAAATAACATATTTGGATGCGCATACTATCCGGGATGATAGGAGGAACATTTCCGCACTGGAGTCTCGTTCTTGCAATAGTGGGTGCGAATTATCTGGTATTCATGCACGTCTGGAGTGGTGAATCGGCACGCTGAGATAACGTTTCGAATGGACGATAAGACATGCTTACAGCACGCAGCTCATCATACCTTCTCATAATGCGTGTCCATCTGTCGGAATAGGTATTGTCCTGGTGATATACAATGGTATCGATCTGAGGAAAGAGCTGGTATACGAATTTTGCAGCCCGCTCGACTTCGTCCTCTGTTCGAGCATGTGCAACACATCTAATCCGTAGATGCTTCATGTTGTAGTTGACACTGTGTAAATTGCTCTCGCCCTGTTCTGAGAAGTCTATCGCAGGAAGTATGACAGAAGTCAGGTTGGGACATTGGGCTGCAAGGTAGCCAAGAGCGCGAGCGGTAGGAAGCATCGGAAAGGTCGATCCGTATGACAGTGAGAGGCAACGGATCCATGGCCACGCCCGAGCCATTATGCCGACGTCGTCATCGCCAAAGATTACGGATTTCCAGAGCAAGAGATGAAAGTGAACTTCCTCTATCTTGTGTAGATCAAGGATAGATTCTAGAACGTTTAGCACCCGTGCGCCCTCTTCTTCGCTGTTATATAATGAAATTGTTGAGCGTATGATGCGCAACGACTGGCCAAAGCGGTTTGCCACGATGCGAAAAACATTCTGACATTCCTGTGTACTGTGACACTTCGCCTCAAAGACAGAGAGCAGTACCAGAGATGGTGCTGCGATTGTGCTGAGGAGGTTGACAATACTCGACAACTGTCCGCGAAGTATGAGCTGCTTCAGCGACGAGAAGGTAATCGGGGATAATTCCGGTTTGTCGAATTGGGCATATAGCTCAAGTTTAGCTAGGCTCGCGACGTGGGACAGCTTCACCAACGATGCCGCGTCAAGAATAGGCGCAGGTCCAGAGTGTACGAGGAAGAGATTCTGGAGATTCCGAAGTCTGCCTATGTAATCTATGATTGATGTTCCAAAGAAGCCACGAAAGCGCAGCGATTCCAGCTCAGGGCATCTGAAATGAAGACTGAGTAGAAGGGACTCTAAATTGTAGTGGAGTGTCACCCCATCTTCGAGGGTGAACTTGGTACCGGAATCAACCACAACGTCGAGAAGCTGTAGGGTCTTGTGGATAAATGACATGATGGAACATATGTCGGCGGAGGAAGTGATAGTAAGGCGCAGCTCGTGGAGGATGGGGCATGGACTGCAGCCGTCGTGCTCCGCAATGAGATTACAGAGTGTAGACTGTAAGATTACGTCCGCATGCTCTCTGTGAGTAATTCTTTGCACCCATTATGAGTACGTGGTGAAGCGCTGCCAATCGCTGGGATGTGCCTAGTCATTAGATAGGGGAAATGTTCAGGGCTCATCAAAGCCATGTGCGACTAGTGCTTACGTGCTGTCGCCTCCGCATGCGACCGCGCTCTTCTAGGCGGCACGAAGGTGGCCGTAGAAGAGGCATCAGGCTGTCAAGCTCCCTCCAGAGTACCCTCAACGCCGGCTCATGAAAGGCCCTGCATACGCGCGCAGATAATGTCAATGCCCGCCTCTTCTCCGTTACTTCGAGATGGCTGTCTGAGCTTGAAGGCGATGAAGATAGTTTTTCGAATATTTGGCATAGAATGTCGTACGTTCTCAGCGCCGGATGTGTCCCCCGCTTTATAGACAGCGTAGGCTTCACCATCGCACTCGATATCATCACGAAGAGGGGAGCGATGGGGCTTGGGACGCTGTAGCTTCAGAAATGACCATAACTTGACCACGTGAATGCAAGACGACATGCGAAAGGAGTTCTATATCTGAGCCTGCGATATCAACGTCCACGTTTGTACCCCATAGGGGCATGTTGTATGATCAGAGAACAGGTCGTCATGCGGCTGTCACAGATGGTGGGAATTGCTATGCGACATCTGTCATGAATCTAGCGTACAAGGAATGCTCAGTGTATCATTCCACAGCAAATACATTGAGAAGCACGTTTCTGCGGAAGCTACAGATGCGTCAAGTAACGTAACTTTGCTTCACAGTTTTGGCTGTCTCCCTCATCACGGTATGCCTGCCGCATAAGGCGCTCCGTATGCTCAGAGCGCTCAGCAGCAATCGCGACTATTGCGCTAGTGATAACTGCATCACAATGCAGCGTTAGATACGCCTTCGTACTTATGCACGGCTATATTCCCGCTGCAGATGCAGTGGTTGCAACGGGGCTCTCTAATGATCGGCCTCAATTGATGTCGCTCTGAACCGACTCCTCCTGTCTGAGCACCTTCGCCTGTGCGAGAAAAAAGACGAACCAGTATGATGGAGTAGATCATAGCTTAGAAGACGAGGTGGTCAACAAATCTGTACGCAATTCTTGCTCGATTTAAAGTTTGGCTGCGCCTCTCGTTCGATTGACCGACGCCTTGTGCTTCGTCCGTTATCGCGAGCGGACGGGCTGCACTTACGTTATATGATACGTGGCATCACTGAGTCGGCGGGACCGCTCACTTGGCAGTTCACTGT